TGTATGTATGTATGTATGTATGTATGTATGTATGTATGTATGTATGTATGTATTTATTTATTTATTTATTTATTTATTTATTTATTTATTTATTTATTTATTTATTTATTTCCCGCCCATCTAGTGCCTAAGCACGACTCCATAAGGTCAATTTACCCAGTTTAGATACATATTGTATTTCAGGACCCTCTTATCCATGGAATCAGTATCTGCTGATTCGGTTATCCATGGTCTGAAAAATTTAAAAATATTAAAAGAAAAATCCGAGAAATATATACTGTATTTCTAAAGGTGGAGTTACCAGAATTAGTCACTAGAGGGAGCCAGAGACAATGCTATGTATAGCATTTGCGCTAGGGAACTATATTTCACTAGAGGGAGCCAGAGACAATGCTATATATAGCATTTGCTAGAGGACTATATTTCCATGGTGTCATTATCAGAAGTGGCCACTAGAGAGAGCTAGAGACCATGCTATGTATAGCATTTGCTATAATCAGTGTTTTTCAGCATCCACGAGAGCCTTGGAATTTATTCCCCGTGGATACAGGGACCCTACTGTAATGTTGACCAAGCCAAACCTTGGTGCCAAGCTGGTAGGGCCAACCATCATAATGGGTGACACACATGGTAAAATGACCTGCTAAGGGAAGTGTTCAACCCTGAGTGCTCACTGGAAGGACAGATCCTGAAACTGAGGCTCCAATTCTTTGGCCATCTCATGAGAAGAGAAGACTCCCTGGAAAAGCCCCTGATGTTGGGAAAGTGTGAGGGGAAGAGGAGAAGGGGACGACAGAGGACGAGATGGTTGGACAGTGTCATCAAAGCGACCAACATGAATTTGACCCAACTCTGGGAGGCAGTGGAAGACAGGAGGGCCTGGCGTGCTCTGGTCGATGGGGTCACGAAGAGTCGAACACAACTAAAAGACTAAACAACAACAAGGAAGTGTGGGAAGATTTCAGGCTTATGGGATCTGGTGCTCGGAAAGTTATAAAAATTGCTTTAAAAACTAATTAGTGCTTCTGAGCACAGGCGGATGGACTTGCGCCTTGTGCCCTCCCTGGTAGCCATCTTGTCCCTTTCTGGGACTCATGCTGCCCCTTCTGTGGCTGCTACGGCTGGGTTTGCTACGGGACCCACAAAATTAGGCAGTGTGGCAACCACCGCTGCTACAGCAGCTTCAATAAATTGATTAAAAACCATTTCCCCTTTCACATGAGCCATCCGTGCTTCCCATATGCTTTGTTTTAAGGTGGAGATGCTTGTGGGTCGTTGTTGCATTTTGGTGGCAAATTCATCAGGTGTGGTGATGGGCTTTGCCATGGATAGAATTGGCCCCTTTGATTTGTGCAGGTCCTGTATCCCTCTTCGCGGCGAAAGCTGTATTCCCACCGACCCAATTTTTGTAACAGCTGCTGAGATGGCAACTAATACAAAATCTTGAAGAATGCCATACAGGTTCAAAGTGCTTTCTCACTGCTTTTATGGGATCATAAAAGGGAGAGAATCAATAAAAGCAATGGCCACGAGCTTTGCTTTAAGCGCAACCATAAAGAACGGGGATGCGGATGTAAAAATATACCACGTGGCGTAGCTTTCTCTTTTTTTATGGGGCCAGGATATTACTCTTAGCTCCTCACTGCATCCCAAACCTTGGTCTTTGCTCGGATAAAACTTGTGTCCCTCACCAACCCGACCCCCTACTCTTGGGGAAGGAGCTTGAAGTTGTAAAGAGAATCGGGCATCCGTTTTAAATCCGACCTTGCATTTCACAACCTGGGAAGCAGGGTAGAAATATAATCGCCGTAGATGTTTGTACACCTTGGTGGAGGGAAGCTGGATTTACTACTGCAGGAGAGGCCGACATAGCAAACTCGGAGCTCTCTGAAGAATTACGGCGTTGACGCATCCTGTGCAAAGAAGTGGAAAAGAACCGGGTCTCAGAGCACCAGCTTCAAGCCTGGCATCTTCAGTAGGGAAGATTAAGTAGAAGGAGTTGATTCCTCAGCATGATGGAGAGATTATGGTCTGTCAGAGCAGACAAGACAGCCCGGGCGGACAAAAAAAGGCTAACTCTGATGTTGCAAAACTGTTGGACTGCAGATGGTTCCAAACAGTGCAGTTTAGAAATCGTTGGGCGGAAGCCGATTCCTTGCACACCATTCAGTGTAAGTCCATTGGCACA